CTTGAAACAAATGAAAATGAAAATACAACACACTAAACCTCTGGGATACAGTGCAGGCAGTCCTCAAGGGACAGTTCATAGCAATAAGCACACACATAAAAAAGTAAGAAGAAAGGAAAGTCAATGATCTGACTCAACACCTTCATCAAATAAAAAAAGAACTCCATATGATCTTACAGCCTTCAAAAAGCCAACTAGGAACAATATACAGCCTCTAGAGAAAGGAAATTATAAGGGCAAGAGATTAAATCAATGAAATAGACAACAGAAAAGCAATTAAAACCACCAATAAGACAAGAAACTGATTTTTAATAGAGTCAATAAAATTGACAAATCACTGGCAAACTTAACAAAAGAGGAAAAAAAGACAACACAGATAACTCGATTAAGAAATTATAGAGGTGACATCACAATAGAATCAGATGAAATTAAATTTATAATATCAGAATACTTTGAAAAGCTATATTCTGATACATTTGAAAACCTAGAGTAAATGGACAAATTCCTTGAAACTCATACCCTACCCAGATTGACAAGGACAGATGTAGAACACATGAAAATCACGATGTAAAACGTCATGAAATAAGAAATTGAGCAGGTCATAAAAAGACTTTCTCATACTAAAAGTCCTGGATCAGATGGCTTCAGAGCTAAATTCTACCAAACATTCAGAGAAGATCAATCACCAATTCTGTGTAAAGTATTTTAAAAAATAGAAAAGAAAGGAACATTCCCAGAGACATTCTATGAAGAAAGCATAACCCTGATACCAAAACCAGACAAAGATATTACCAAGAAAGAAAACTACAGACCAGTATCTCTCATGAATATAGATGCAAGATCCTTGACACAATCTTAGCCAATAGAATCCAAAAGCACATAAAAAAAATTCATATGACCACGTGGGATTCATAAGAAGTATGGAAAGATGATTCAGCATAAGAAAAGCAATATAATTCACCACTTTAACCAAGCAAATAACAAGAACCATATAATCTTAGCAATTGATGCATAAAAGGCATTTGACAAAATCCAACACCCTTACCTGATAAAGACACTCAGCAAAATTGGAATAGAGGCAAATTTCCTCAACATAGTGAAAAGTACATATGCAAAACCAAGAGCCAGTGTCATTCTGAATGGAGACAGACAAAATACATTTTCCTTGCAAACAGGGACCAGACAAGGATGCCCACTGACACCATTTCTATTCAATATAGTATTGCATATGCTTGCTAGGGTAATATGACAAGAGAAACTGTTAGAACTAATAGACTAATGTAGTAGAGTGGCAGGATATAAGATCAATATCCAAAAATCAATAGGATTCCTCTAAAGTAATAAAGAGAACTCAGAGAAGGAAACCAAGAAAGCAATAGCATTGATAATAGCTAAGCACAAATTTAAATATTTGGGAGTGAACCTAATTAGAGACACAAAAGACCTGTACAAAGAAAACTACAGAATGTTTTTGCAAGACACAATAAAAGACCCAAATAAATGGGAAAATATGCCATGTTCATGGGTAGGAAGATTTAATATTGTGAAAATGACACTCCTATCAACAGCAACCTACATGTTCAACAACAATCCCAATATAGACACCAAATTTATTTTTCAAGGATATCAAAAGGGAAATTGTGAAGTATATTTGGAAAAGAAAGAGATCCCAAATATGCAAAGCACTTCTGAAAAACAAAAATGAAGTGGGAGGCATAGAACTTCTTGACCTCAAAATCTACTACACAAAAAGAAATTGGGTAAAATAAAAATAATAAATATTTCAAAGATAAAGAAAGGAAATACATTGAATGACTAAATTGTGATATAATAAAAAATAACAACAAAACAAACAAGATCAATTCCAACTCATGATGACCTCATCTATTACAGAACACAACTGCCTCAAAAAGCTTTCCTGTTTGTTCATCCTGTTGTTGTTATGTGCTGTCGAGTCGCTTGCGACTCAAAGCGACCCTATGTTCATCCTAGAGAGGGTGAATCCAGGCTGCTCCTTGGAGGCAAGAATTCTAAGGCTTCGTCTGACCTCCTTTGGACATGTTGCAAGATGGGACAACTCCTTGGAGAGGGATGTCATGCTTGGAAGGTTGGAGGGACAGCGCAAGAGAGGAAGACCCTCAATGAGATGGATTGATTCAGTTACTGGGGTAATGGGTGTAGGTGTGTCAGAGACAATAAGGTTGGCGCAGGATAGAGAAAGGTTTAGGGCTGTTGTATATAGAGTTGCTATGGGTCGCTGGTGGCTCGAAAGCACATAACAACAACAACCTGAAGTATATTCTCACATCTTTCTTCTGCATCTATGTTGGTGGATTTGAATTCCCAACCTTTAGTTAGCAATTGAGAATAAACTGTACTATCAGGTAGAAGCATGTTTCAGTATGGAATAATCTAAAATAAAGAAATAAGATGAGTAAATAAGAATGATCATTAAATATTTCGTGATGACAAAATTTACAACCATTTGCCATAGAGTTGGTTTTGACTCATGGCAACCTGTATGCCCCAGAGAGAAACCGTGCTCTAGCGGATTGATGTCAAAGGCTAATATTTTTAGAAAATCAATTGTTCTGGTGGCCTAATGGCAAGAAGCTGTGCTGCAATCCCGAAGGCACGCAGTTGGAAGGCACCAGCTGCTCCACGGGAGCAGGACAGGCAATCTCCCCCATATGTTTAACTGCCTCTGAAAATCCGCTGGAGGGTCAACTATGGGTCAGTTCCAACTCTACCGTAAACAACAAGGACAGTATTGGTAAACCATTCTTGTTAATGCACAAAGTCAACATATCAATTAATACCTGAGCTCATAATAAATGCAAAATATGTTGTACTGTATGCTGTATTTGGAAGCAGGAGTGGTTTCTACTTCCTAAATAACATGCCTCTGGAAACTCTATGAACTTTGATAAACAACAATAGTTATAGAATGCCTTCAGGACTTTTGTTCATAGAGTCACTATGAGTTGTGGCCCACTCCACGGCAATCAACAACAATAACAACATATACTGTATAGGATAGAATCTGGATGCACATGTATTGAAGAATAATGTGAAAATATGAAATAAAATAATAAACAACAAACTTAGGAAATTGATACTCTGAAATTTTTTCTGAGAATAGAAAGATGAAAGAACAGAAGAAGGTATAAGAGTTTATCACAAATTTTTTAAATCTACCTTACTTCTTTCCATATTCTTGAATAACAAAACTCTAAAAGTTATTTTTAAACTTTTAAAAACAGAAATCTTTCAATACTATTTTTTTGTATTTGTGTTTTCTCAGGGTAAGAGTTTCGTTGCATATTATCTATTTTTATAAGGAATGTTTGTAAAGTTTAGTAACAAGTAAAATTTCACAGCATAAAACATTTATTAGGACCATCAAAATGAGGTTTGTGCCAGTACCTGTATTTTTCTAAATTTGACTTGCTTAGTTAGATGAACTCCAAAGTTTTCTCAACACTGTTTAATCTTGTTCTTATATTTCTGACCTGATGCACACTCAGATGCCAGAAGAAAGGGATCACAGGATTTCCAGTCATTACGCACTTGCTTACATGGCAGCTATACCTGTCATCTAAACAAAGAGCTTTGTGTCTCTGACGAAATAAATCCCACAGCTCTATTTCTTCACAGCAAACAAACACAAATCAAGTTAAGTCATAAAATGTTATTGTGATATCAAGGGTTTTGTTGTTCAAAATTATTTTCCTACCCATTGATTGACTTTGACTTTGCCACGGGGGTGGGGAGAGCATGTGAATAGGAAGTGTTAATCTATCCACAAAAGATTGTCTAGTTTCAACATTAAATTGAGTGGATACAACAGCAGAAATTGCGAATCTCAGCACCAACAATGAATGTTCTTTAGAGCCACAGATTTCTTCACCAGCAAGAGCAAGATCTACAAAAGAGGAAGAGCAGCCTCAACAGAGAACCACAGACCAACATGAAACAGATGCTGCCCCACAAAGCCAGAGCTAGAGGCCTTCATGCAAGTTTTCTGGAAGACTAGAAGAAGATAACATAGCTAGCAGAAAATGGAGAACTTGATAACACTAACCTGAGCTGTGAGGCTAAGGATCAATGGACCTGTGGTCCTGCTTGAGAAGCTGTCTGGACTGAGGGATTGTATCCTGCAGTCAACCTGAACTATAGATTGTTGACTTCCCCAATAAACCCTACAACTGTAAGTATAGCTCTGTGAATTCTGTGTGGTCACTGCAGTGAATTTTGGACCCAATAAATCAGCAGTAATATTAGTGCTGGAATTAGTACAATTAGGTGCAGGAGGGTAGTTTCACGTCTAACCTCATGAGAATTGGTTTTGTGTTGTGAATGCTGCTGATGGGGCAGTTTTCTTCTGTGAAATTAGTAGAAGTCTATTAGAATAATTATTATTATTAAAAGGCTATTCCCACACTGCCCTTGCTCATTTTATAGTTATGAAACAACATGATACAAAAACAAATGAAAACATGCCAAACAGTTTAAAGGGCATGCTTATTTAGAACAATGTTTGTCACTGAATATATACTCAACAAACACTTCTTAAACAAACTGATTTGAAAATCTAAGAATTCACACATATATACCAATAATTCAGTCATATTTTTCTGAGTATCTTTCTCTATTTCTTTGAGCTTTATCTCAGCAATAAGTAATGCATTGTTGACTGTTCTTTCAATAAATAAAATTATTTTAACTTGAAACCAAAGATTCAGGGATAAAGATATTTTTTTGTTGCATATAATTCCAGGAATTATCTAAGATGTTTTCTTAGAAGTGTCTTTGTGTCTTTTCCCTAGTCTTACACCTGGGTTGTCACAGTTGTAGCCACTTCCGGTCTGAGCCAAGGGGTGCCCCCCCTCCCCCGTCAGTCTCTACAGCAGGTGGATTTCTTAAGCAGTGCTCTAGGTTTTTGTATGTCTCTTTCTGACTCTTCTCTCACTGTGGCTTCTCTCAATGCACAGAAATACACTGCTGAGTCCCCAAGCTGTGAAGCTGAGATGGCAAGGTTGATCGATTTAGATGTTTGTTGGAAGTTCAATGAGTAACGGCCGTCTGTTGCATTTTGCTGGTAAGACTCCTGGCGAATAAGGAAAATAATTTGCCCACTGCTGGACTGCTTGTACCAGAATAAAGCAAAGCTTGGATCACTGGTATCATATGTGCAGTTAAGAGTCACAGTCTCCTCTTCTTGCACCATCATTTCTAACTGAATTTTATTTACCTTCTGGGTAAGGCTGAATCCTATAGGAAAATAGATAAGATCAGAAAATTTTAGGGGGTAAGAGGTGTAAGACAAAGCAATTTCTTTTTTTGTCTCCTTCCCACAGTACCCAGAAGACACAGGTTGTGTCTACAATATTTAGGTCATAACCCACTGTCATTAAGTTGTACCAACTAATAGATGATCCTCCATTGGGATTCTGAGACTAGAAATCACATGAGAGGCAATTACTCATTTTTCTGCCGTGAAGTCCCTGGTAGAGAGCTATTCCCACTGGAACTATTCCTACCTAGGCACAGCAAAACCATGAACACCTTCATCAAGATATAGAGCAGCATTCTAGAATTCTTTCTCCTGAGGAAGATGGTCTTGATCTTCAACTTCTGTTGTGTCAGATGATCACAAAAAAGTGAGCTAAGAATTATTGTGTTATGTTTTGCTGTGGCCCCAGAAACAGGAAATGGGGCTTTCCTGGTATAGCAAGTTGCTATGTGTCAAATATAGCTTTTATAGTATTTGCTGAGAGTCTAGCCCCACCCAAATTCCTTTTTGATCAACTTTTCATTTTATTGACAATTCTATCTGTAAATAAACATGGATAAAACTGTATATTAAAATGAAAGGTAAGGATTCAACCAACTTCCTTATTAAATCAATACATCTTTGATGGTACTAAGTGAAAGGAGACATTATTTAAAAATACTTTATATAAAGAATGGAAAAGACTGAAAGGAGACATTGTTTTTTTTTTTTTAACAAAAATGCATGTTTTAATGAAAGACTCAACCAAGAAGAGGCAAATACTAGTTACAAGGGCTCTTAAATTTAACCTCAACTTGAGGATAAAAATTTGTACTTTCAAATTATGATAACAGAACATTTTTCATGTGGTAAATTTAATGAAAAAAAACCCCACAAAACCTCTATGAATTTGCATGTCATCTCTGCACAGGGCCCCGCTCGTCCTTTCTTTTTTTTTTTTTTCTGGTATTCTCTGCTTTCAGCCAAGATCCATCTGACATTGCCTACTGTGTTTCTAGCACCGTAACCTCTTCTCTCTTTTTTTCCCCTATATTTTATTAATTTTCATAAATATTTACAGAGATTTTGGGTTTCCATTCATTCATTGTTGCACTATTCTCTCTACCCTCC